GCAGAGGCCACAGGCGAGAGGGAGGGACGTGGTGGGAAGAAAACGTGCATGAAGTGCCGGCTTTAAAATGTAAGCCTCATCTTACATTTTAGTGTCTTCAGCAGGCAAATGGCATGTTGGGAAACAGAAGCTAGAAGATAGATTGTTCTAGCAGGTTTCTGTAGGAATCACAAGAAGCTGTTCAGGAAGGTTTGTAGAAGAACCAATAGGCCAGAAGGCTATTTTAATCACCATACTGCTTTAAGAAAAACAAGCAGCAGCGTTACCAATTTCCCTTCTGACTTGTCCCTTTGTTTCGTAATCATAACTAGCTATGAGCAAAACTAGCTGCCAAAAGCTCTCTCCTTTATTTCTAAATACTTTGCAAATGCTTGCTTGCCTACATGTAAGTTGAGCCTACATGTATGTTGAGCCAAAATGTATCATCTCAGAAAGCTTCAGCCATAGCCCACCTAGCAATTTGTACCCACAGCTCAACTCTCAGGTTGTTTTAAAATGTCTATGTCATGCCAAGCTTCTCAAGTGGTCACTTATGAAAGCATTTCCCCGTTACTGCTACATATACTGCTAAGGCCTTCAGAATTCTAAGACAAACATTGCTGGGTCATTTTATTTTAATACCTCTTCTCTTTTTATTTTCTTTTAATAAACCAATATCATATTTAACTTAAAAAAAAAGTACAATAATAAAAACAAGCCCCAAATACCTTCTTGAATAGAATAACTCATATTTTGCTTATTGGTGTAAAAATGGAAGCTAATCATTATTCATACTGCTAATAATGATACAAGTGAGGCAAAAGTGTGTTGGGGTATCTTAAGGGTCTAAATTGAAAACGTTTTTTTCTCTTTTATGATTATATCCATGAAGGTGATAGATAAAAAGTACAAAATAAAGCTAAAAAAGAGAATCTTTTAAAAAACATTTAAAAATCAATTTTTACAACAAAAGCATTTTTTTTTAAAATCCTCACCTGAGGATATTTTTCCCCCCACTGATTTCCAGAGAGAGTAGAGGGAGGGAGGGGGTTTGGGGGAGAGAAAAAACATTGACACGAGAGAGACACATCAATTGGTTGCCTCCCATATGCGCCTCTTCCAGGGCTGGGGAACCTGCAACCAAGGTATGTGCCCTCCCATGGGAATCAAACCTGAGATCCTTCAGTCTGCAGGTCAACACTCTAACCACTGAGCAAAACCAGCCAGGGCAACAAAAGCATTTCTCATACGCAACTTTCAAATATTAGGATTTCACATTAAGAGACACAACAGGTTAGGATCCTAGGTTATTGAGCAGGTTAGGACCCTAGGTAAGCAGACATTGACATTAGCTACCATATCCAGGAACTCCCAAATATAGAATAAATGGCAGAAATATTTTTTAGGTCCGAGATAAAAAAGATAGCAACACAACCCATTAGAGAAAACGGGCTGCATTCGACAGAAAAACTGTCAGAATATGAACTAAAGATGAAAGACAAGGAGGAGGCTTCATGGGAAGCTGCCAGTATCCAGCTGCACTGAAACCCACAGCTCCTCTGAACCATCTCCATCCTCCCTTCTCTGACAGCGTCCAGCTCTGCATTCAATCAGACATTCCTCCCCGCGGCCTCCCTGCTCCCTTCTTCCCCAATGTTCCTTTTGTGGCTCACGCCGCTCTGTTAGAGGATGACAGTCCGCTATGTGGACATTTCCTACCTCCAGCCACGCTGGGACTGTCAGCTTCTAGAGTACAAGAACTGAGTTTTAATTCATTTTTTAAAATCTCTCCCTCCAGCCCCCCGAGTCTAACACAGTCCCTGCCTGGCATTATTAAGCATTCAGGACAAATTACAAGTTCCTTGGCTGCATAAATATCTCTGGACTACTAAGATGTAAAACTTGACAAAAACCACCAGGAATTATTATTTAAATGTAATATTGACAGCTTGCAGAAAACACTCAATAATCATATGCTCAGACTTTTTGGTCTCAGAACCCTTTACATTCCTTTTTTTTTTTTTAACAGTACAAAATTTTTATATTTAGAATTAGCCAGCTGGACTCAGTTTAGATCATCCCAATTTTGTTGCCAACATCCAAAGCATCAGTCAAACCTACGCCTTCTTTTCTCCATCAGGCCTGATCAGGGTGTTGCCCTTGGCCATGTCAAGGCCACAGAGCTTCTTCACAGCCTGTCTGATCTGGTGCTTGTTGGCCTTGACATCACAATGGACACAAGTGTACTGTTGTGTCTTCTCTCTTCGTCATGGCTGACTCGGGAGGGGGAATCTGATGGTGGTGCAGCGGTCAAGCTTGTTTCTCCCGGGAGTGCTCTTCCGAGGATATCTTCGCTGCCGTCGGAGCCTCTTTGGTCGTAGGACGGTGGGTGACCTGCGGATCTTTCTTCTGTGTGGCTATGGATGCCTTTCAGCACTGCTTTCTTTGCCTTCAAAGCCTTTGCTTTGGGTTTGACTTTGGGAGGGGCAGCTTCCTTATTCGATTCAGTGCCATCTTCATAAAAAGCCCCTTTACGTTGCCCAGCCAGTGTGGCCCAGTTGGTTGAGCACTGTCCCATGCACCAAGAGGTCATGGGTTCGATTCCCAGTCAGGTGAGCACATGACGGGTTGTGGGCCCAATCCCCAGTAGGGAGCATGCAGGAGGCAGCCAATCCATGTTTCTCTCTCTCTCTCCCTTTCTCTCTAAAATTGATAAAAACATATATATATTTTAAAGCCCCTTTACATTCTTCAAATTACTG